GCGTACCTTCGTAAGAAAGCGTTAGGAATTCCATCTGGGCCACTCGACTTTCTAGTGTCCAATTGCAAAAGACTTAAAAATACCTTCTGTAGAAACCACCAAATCACTGATTCCACAACTGTCATGATTAAATGAAGGCAACATGCAGTTATCAACCGTGAAGGCAGAAGAGAAAAAATAATTAAGCTCACTTGCTATGCTCGCTTCATCGGCAAATGTCTGCCCGCTATTAATAAGCTCCTTAATCATCACCCTTTTTTTTTTGTCAAATGAGCCCAGAACTTTCTCGGGTTTTCTACGAGAAAGTTCTGCATCGTGACATTAAAGTAGCGATATTTAGATGTGCGCACAAGTGTCCGTAGCTCTTGGCGAAGAGGAGGAAGCATAAATTTTAAACTTGGTTGGAACCTATCTACTCGATTTATCTTTCGCTTTAAATGTAAAATATCGCGCGTCACCCATAGATTGTGCCTCTTCCCTTTTGTCGGTCGCTCTGGAATAAACGTATCAACACATGTAAGGATGACTTGCTTAAAAAAGAGCCAAAGCTTATCTACTGAGTCCGGATTCGCATCGTAAAACGCAAGAAATCTGTCTGGAGCCACTTCCAAGAAGTCTATAACTTATCGATATCATTCGCCCTGTTGAAATCACGATAAGATTTTGCTTCGGTTTCATTGTGTGCATGCTGCGGTGCAGATAGGTCCCATACAACTATTGCATGGTCAGATATGCCATCCGCGAATTGATACGTCAAGAATACTTCTTGTAACGACCTCAGATAAAAACACGAGATCAAGCAAGGATTCCCTGTAATTTGACAGACGTGTGGGACACTTGACCACTTGACTTAAATTATTACTAAAAGCAATATCAACAAGAAGCCTAGACTGATTGCATATCCCATTGGGCATCACGCAATTCCAATCTATATCTGGCAAATTAAAATCACCGGCCATAACTATACGTGAAAATTGCTTGGTTTTAGTTAGAAGAAACTCAGATAAACTCTGTAGGACATCAATACTGGTCTGAGGACATCTATATACTGGTCCTACAAGCATTGATTGGCAACCAAAACGTATAGAGGCCCAGACCATTTCACAGTCCTGGCCGTGCTCAATAGACAGGCATATATAAAAATGGAACCAGTATAGCGTTCTGTCCAAACGTGTATTTTTTTTCTACGAGCGTTTACTACGTTTTTGTTTTTTTCTCTTCAACAACTTAGGCACCTATCCAAATAGACGGTCGCGCTCCTTATAAAAACAATTCCAAAGAAGGACAGTCTTCTGATTTAGGCATGCCACATGTAGATCACATCAGGACCGTAAGTCTCAAGAGGTAGAGAAATAGGAAAAAGCAACAACTGTTGCAGCCAATTACTATCTCAGGCCCTGTCTATAGTTATGCGAAGAGTACGATAATGTCCAAACAATATTAGAAAGTTTCAGTAGGTAACTATACAATAACAATACCCGATAGCAACACAATGCATGCGCAAAGACGCCGGAGGAATCTTGGATATACAGTTATGGGAACATTCTTCCAAAATTTCCCATTATCGTATGCAGGGAAAAAGGATTCACCTGCTTCTTAGTCATCAACCTCTCTTCATGGTTCCATTAAAAAAAAATGCCACTATCGTCAAAAGTCCGAGCGAGCAAAGCCACAGCTAATGTCTAGAACGACGCTCAAAAACCGGCCCGCTCAGAAAGTTGCTCTCGCTCTTGTAAGTCATACTTCGTTCGCCATTATGGTGAAACGGGGTAGTGCAAGCGTGCAAGATCACGGCGTCGTTAGCACTTATACGGGAAGAGGCGAAATAAATAACGATGTTCAGCATAGTGTTAATGTTAAACATGCGAGGCTCGTCCGATGACTCAAACGGCAGCTCTTCAATTAGACCACATTCATAACGTCAGTCATGTACACAAATAGACACGTAAACCAAAACGTAGCAAACGTTAAAATAAACATATTTACATATATAGATATTATTCCTATTATTATTTTACACAGAGGGGACGCAGGAAGAAGGCGGCGTAGTCAGGAGCCAGGCAAAAAGACAGTAACGTTATTATTTCAGAAGAACATTGCTGTGGAACGAAAGCTCGTGCTCCAAAACCGAAGGATGGGTTCAATCTCTATACCCATGCCTGTTTCTACCTCGATGAGCATGTTGTTCCGGCGTGCGGCCGTGTATCACTACCGCGTTGTGCGTGAAGCACGTTAAATCCGCGTTTTTGTACACGTGTCTATTTGTGCACGTGCCTGACATTATGCGGGTGGTCTAAATGAAGAGCTGCTCTTTCGAGTCATCGAGCGACCCTCGCTTGATGACGCGATGTTGAACAGTATCCTCAAGATTTTTGTTTATTTCACCCGTAAAGATGCTAACGCAATATTTCCAGTTTCTAGATATGTCAAACAACTTTGGTCAAGTTCCACACAGTAGTTTTATTAATAAAATGAAGATGATCGGGGTCTGTTTAGAATTGGTTAATCGGATAACAGCTTATCCGGTGGAAAGAACAGAAGTTGTCGAAATAAATAGCAACGCCTCTAATATTTTGCCAGATAACATCGGGCGTGCCGCGGAGTCTACGTTTTACTGCTCATTCACACTGGAAGCGGATCCGCGTTCGTAAAGCGGTTGCGAACGCGGTTGTATAAAGATCCAGTACAATTTCACGTGAACTCTATGACGTCGAGAAGCGCGTGCAATTGTACTGGATCTTTATACAACCGCGCTCGTAACCGATTTGCGAACGCGGATCCGCTTCCAGTGTGAGCGAGCGGTTAGGCCCGGTGTTATTTTTATTGTACATCAATGACATAGCATTGACGGTTCCATCGCAGTGCGGTTATTTGCGGATGACTCCTTCAACTAAACTATTGTAAAGACTCGGAAGAATCAAGTTAACCAAGGAAGCGCACTCCACAAAATCGGGTTGGGGTGGCAAAAATAGGGAATGGCAAGTATTGAAAAAAAAACAAAAAAAAAAACGTACTAGTGCAGTTAACGTTACTAGAACCACTCAGTTGGGGAAGTGCCATAGGAGCCTGCTCTGAAAAAGTGTCACCGATCCGTACTCAAGAACCGAACTAATGGCGATCGCAACGCCGCCATTTTTACCGTGGCGGCCACTCGAGGGACTGCCCGTAACTTCTATTGTGGCTTTAATCGGCCATTTTGGCTCCTCGTCTCCCTAGCGAACGCGCCGCGAATTACTATCGAAGTTAGGATGCGCCAAGGTCGGGACTTGCTACCTGAAATCGCCGCTAATGTATGGTTATATACAAATAATATTAATTTTGCCGCAAAACCTTGCAAAGTAAAACTTTTAGAAAACATCATGCGCCCGTCCTTTTGTACTAAACTCCAATAAAACTTACTACAAGAAGAGTTTTTTCCGCTTGTTTTTGCGCAAAAATTTAACATGCTTTCTAAAAGCTCCAGGTGATCACAGTACAGACAAATGATAAAGAGTGGCGCTGTTGTCGTATTTAGCTCGGTCTCGGTGGACGCCAGCGGCCCAGGTTTCGACGGCGAGTTTCCCAAATGAGTGTTCTAGTAACGTTGAGGGCAACTTACAAATAAAAAAAAAAATATTTACCTTATGTATACACAGTGTATGGATCCTTCTTGAAAGAAGAGGATCGTTTCATTACGTAGGCGTAACAACTGAAATTAACCTAAAATTGGGAAAGCACGTCAGCAACATCTGCTTATCTGCAAAACGTACACTAAAATATCTGAAGCGTAATTTCAAACCTGCAACCACGAGTGCTAAGTTGGTACTTTTTAAAACTGTCGTACGAACAGTACTAAAATATGCAAACCCGATATGGGACCCTCATTTAAAAAAAAAATATGATTAAAAGGTTCCAAGATTTGCATCTCGCTACATACTGTCCAGACATAAACTAACTGACTCGGTTAGTGCTACGTTAAAATTACTTGACCTTGTGCTTCTTTTTTACAGGCGTAGGAACGTTAGACTTAAGTTAATTTTTATGTTGTATCATGGTATATTTAACATTGAATATACAAAGTACCTGAAGCCTCGAGTAATTCGTGCATTAAGGAGTAGTCACTGCAAAATGATCGAACCCCTTCGGAACAAAACTAACGTGTTTCATTATTCATTCTTTCCAAAAACAATAAATTAATAGAACCTTCTTCGCCAGCAGATTGTACATTCAGATTCGCCTGAAGAATTGCTTCACCATCTGGAGCGCTTTTTAAAGAGAGTTTTCGTATTTGCAAGTAGTGCGTAAAACTTCTAGAACATTTCTTTTTTTCAAAAGTAAGAAGTGTGGCTTTAGAGTGCTTATATTGGTTTGACAGAGCAAACGTAAGCGTGGCGAGTGTTAAACAAATGCAAATGTCCATTCATTTTGTGATATTTCAATTAGTATATGTCTCGCGATTTCTGTTGGTGTTGATTGCTGCTGTTTATCTCTAGATTGTTATCCCTGTCGAGGTTCCTTCTCCTGTAACGGCCCCAACAAGGGTTACTGTATTGTGAAATAAAAATAAATAAATAAATAAAAAGAAATGTATACGCTAGCGGCGATACAGCACTGGCTAAATTATTCATCCACAGCGGAGGCGCAAGACACCCACTGGGACTGACTAATTCCCCGCCGTGTAAGTGGACACACAACGAAATCAAAATTGCATATCAAATGTAGATATCAAACAACAGCACGATGCCGCCAGTGGGCTGTCCTATAATTTCGCAAGCGGCGAGACGTTCATTGCAACTTCTACCAAAAAGTTCAACACGCGGGAACGCAGACTATGCAACTACACACTGTTCTGAAGTAAGCATTGCCCTAAGGACTGCTGCAGTCCTCTAGGCAGCAACGGGAAGGCCAACTTCCTTCCGAGGCGAGCGACGTCCAGCCCAGCTCTGAGAGACGGCAATAAAAGAAAAGCCCGCGATGGGCGACTCTATCAGCCACCCCTTTCCCCTCTCCCACTCCTTCGTGCGTGACGTCACGCCGTCTCCTCGCACCGACCCCGATCTTCGAGCCTCCACAGTCGGTCATGAGCACCCGGCGAGCAACCAGTTTGCCGAAACGTCCCTGACGCTCGCCCAAGCCAGTCGCCGAACCACAAGCAGGCCTCGCATTTTGGATTACGTCGCCGAAACCCGCGAGCGTTCGCCGGCTGAAACGTCCACCGCAAACCGCTCAGGAAGACAGGTGAGTGCCCGATCTCCGGGACCACGGTGGGTTAAGTAGTTGTAATGGTCAGCAGCTAACGACATACTTGGACGTCCGTGTACAAGCGCTTCGTCTGCTTGGAATCGGCAAGGAATGGGTAGGATGGTGTTAGTCCTGGTACCTTTTTTTTTTTTTCCATGTGGGGTTCCCTGAGACTAGTCTTCTAACTAGTTTTAATGGTTACCAGCTGCGGGCATACCTCCAAGGGTGCGTACAAGCTCTTCAACCGCTCGAAATCAGCGAAAAGTGGAATGCTGTCGTATTTATACCTTGTTCCAGATCTCTGAGATCTCGATCTCTGAGACCATAGTCCCCTAACTAGTTTTAATAATGATCAGCTGTGGATGTACTCAAGGCGCGTGTACAAACGTTTTATTTCTTTGGAGTTGGCAAGTACAGAGTTGAATGCTGTTGTCCTGCGGGTACCTAGCATCAGGTGGAGTGCCGGATCTCTGAGACCGTACGTCCGCTAACTGGAGTGAATGGTTACCAGCTGCGAACATACATCGATGTGTGTGTACAATCGGTTCATTTGCTCAGAATCGGCAAGGACAGATTAAGATCGTCCCGGTACCTAGGCAGAGTGCCCGATCTCTGAGACTGCAGTCTACTAACTAGTTTCGACGGTTGGCAGCTGCCGATGCAGCTCCAGGTGCGTGTACAAGCGCCTTATCCGTTGGGAATAGGCAAGAATTAGGGTGACGTGGTTCGATGTCTCGTCCAAAGTGAAACAATTGTGTCGATGAGCGCGTCAAGGAACCGACATCTAAAATAGTCAGCATATGACGCTATACGGGCTCACACTTACATCAATCACCCAGATATAGAAGAAATCAAGTGGGCGATAAAATTTTTATCTATGTCCCTCAACAACACTCAATATGATTAGTGCTTACTGTAGGTCTGATATGATTAGTGCTTATTGTAGGTGGAAGATCACCGGACTGTTCAAACTAACCGCCGAATTCAGAAACCTCACTCAAACTGAAGGGCCCCTCCACTTCGTCGAAAAAGGCTCAAGGGCCGGCGCTGGCCAATCGCGACGGCGGATCCGTCCTCGCGATTGGCCAGCGCCGGCCCTTGAGCCTTTTTCGACGAAGTTGAGGGGCCCTTCAGTTTGAGTGAGGTTTCTGAATTCGGCGGTAAGTTGGATGTGCTCTGTCGTTTCGACGACAGCTGTCGCACATCTATCGTTCGACAAGCGAAACCGTAGGTAAAGGTCAACCATTTTTCAGGTTAGCACTAGTTAGGCTTAGACAAGTTTCTTGTAATCGACGATCCTGCCATCGTTAATACCAACGCTAACACTTAATGGCTTACGTGCTATCCTCACAATTGTGAAAGTTGTCAAGATCAATCGCGATAGGTTGAGCATGACGTGGCAGTTAATGATATGCTTAACGGCATTATACCTAAACAAATACAATCTGCGCTCAGCGTCACAGCGCAGACTGTATTCTTAGGTCTAAACATATTTTCAGCCTCCTCATTCGCCAAGCTCTTTCTATAGACCTTTTCATCGCTTATCATGTGGGCAAAAAATGCTGAGTCACTGAGCTGTGGACGCATGCGCAGCCTCTGATATACCGCACAGCAGAGAAACAGCGCATGCTCAGAAGGCGTTCCACAGCCCAGCAGACAAAGATGGCAGCGCACAGAAGGCGATTTTTGCAAAGGTCTATAGATTGCATCGATTGGTTCTCTCAGGTGCTTTGAGGGAAAGTATGCGCACTGGATTTCTTAGTGTGGACAGGGTTAAGGCACAATCGATGACAATACATAAATGCCAAGTATGGTTGCTCTTACCGTGTCGTTACCGGTACATGCTAAAAGACTGACGTGTATTCACAAAAAGGCGACATATCACATGGCAAGGAAAGTCACATAGCGGACGTGCATTCCATTCGCTCCTATTTTCTCTGCTTACTGATACTACGTTGCCCATCGCCAGTGAGTATTTTTTTCTCTCTCACTTCATCATAAGCAGTTCTTGCTGGCTTGCAAGGTTCTGGCTGGCCCGTTGCGCGGCACTCCAGCCGGCAAGGCATGGAAATTTCAACGTCCTTAGTCGCCGCCATGGCGGAACCGCTCCCGCCTGACGACGAAGAAATCGCCAGCGTTTCGGGCTCAATTGCCGACGACAATCAAGGTGCGTTCCAGGATGTCGTCCGCGGAACAAAGAGACGCTGCCCAAGTCAAGGCTCTGGTTCTAGCGAGCAGACTATCATCACCCAAACCGAGCCCACTGTCGGTCTCGTAGTTCTTTTCACTCCTGTGGATAGAGATGTAAGAATTGACTCCATCACTTCGGTTCGCCTCACGTCCACTCTGGAGACGCTCGTGCCTTCGTGTGTTATTGAGGTGCGCTTTAACAGGCGGAAGAATCTCCTAGCGATTGACACGCGGAATGGACAGACGACACGTACTCTTCTTGGGCAGACTACGCTTTGCGGTATGAAAGTGCGTGCTTTCGAGCCTCGTGGAAAGGCCTCCAGCGTTGGAATTGTCCGCGACATTGACAGCACCCTTTCTGACTCCGCAATACTCGGAGTTTTGCGCTCAACAGTAGGCATCCGCAACGTCCGTCGCATCGGCAAGTCCACTACCATTCGTGTTGAGTTTGCTTCTCCTACACTTCCGGAGCACGTCTACGTCGGCCTGGTTCGACATGGCGTCGACTTGTATGTTAACAACCCCATCCAATGCCACCGATGCGGTTTGTTTGGCCATGTTGCGGCTGTGTGTAAGCGGTCGCTAACTTGCCTCCGATGCGCAGAAGCTCACGCAACTACGGAATGCAAAGGCTTGAGCACTCTTTGCGTCAACTGCAAGAAACCACATGAAACAACATCCCAACAGTGCCCATTCTGGCAAGCTGAGCGCTCCGTGTGTCGCTATCGCTGCGAGAACAATGTGTCCTTCGCAGAAGCACGAGCCCAAGTTGACAAACGTACGGCCGAGCAGGTGGCTCCACGAGCCGAAGCTGCAACAGAGATGGCTATTCTAACTGAAAAATTTCAACGGAGACGACGTCATTCCCGACGACGCCAGGCAGAACAACCTATTGCAGACAAACAAGACCCGCCATCCTCGCTTGTCGCCGAAGCCCCGAAGCCAATGGACACAGAGCCTCCGCCTAGGGAAGCACCTGTCCTTGTCTCCTCTGGCGAGAGCAACGTGCGACAAAGCTACAAAGCAGCGCTGCAAAACGAGCCCCCACCGTCGTCACCACCAGTTCAGGCCGGACCTGTACTCCCGACCACTCAAGCTCCTCTTAGTGTTGGACAGGAGGCGATACCGTCCCTCCAAAATCCAAGCACCCTCACTTCCTCGTTAGGTAGCTTCGTACGCCAAATGCTGGTCATAGCGCGACAGTTTCTCCCGCTTCTACAGTATCCATGGGCAAACCAGCTCCTGAATTTTATCACACTTATAGAGCCCTTGGTCAAAAGTTTTCTGCAATGAAAGTTTTTACTCTCCTCATTTTTATTTTTATGGCTTCCTGCCCATCTATCTTACAATGGAACGCCCGCAGCATCACTTCTAAATTAGCAGAGTTGCAGTATTACCTTTCATCTCAGCCGGTGCCTATACTTGCAATTTCGGAATGCCGCCTCAGACATGGCTCTCGAATTCAGCCCTATGTCTATTACCCTAGCGCGGCGGCCACGCCTAACAGCTCGTCACGGGCATCACTCTTTGTTCACTCTAGTGTGCAGCAAGCTGCAGAAGATGTGTCCCATCTGTGTACAGAAACAGCTGAATTTGCAGCATGCACGGTCATATTTCGCTCCTTTAAGATGACCATTGTGTCTGTATATATATGTCCTACTGGTCGCTTTGATGCGAAGTGCATTAGTAGCCTACGTCTTCAATTTCCTGGTCATCTCCTTATATGCGGAGATTTTAACGCACACCATCCTCTCTGGGGTAGTAAACGCACGACGCCTCGGGGTACGACTCTCGCAGATGAGATTGAATCAACAGATTTGATTATTCTGAATGACGGCTCTCCTACATTTTTTGGTCATCGCGGAGAACCTAGCGTGCTGGACCTTACTCTCGCTTCCCCCAATCTAGACGTGTACTGGTCGTTGGATGCGGACACACGTGGAAGCGATCATCTTCCGATTTTGATGAATATACCCGAAGTGACCCGCCTCCCACGTCGTCAATACAGTGTAACCAACTGGGACGTATTTCGCGCAAAGTTTCGCTTTCTTGAGCCGTCAGAGGATATATTAAAAGATATTCCCGCATGTCTCGTTCAATCCACATATAAATTATCATTAAGGATATCTCAGCCGTCCCCGGATTTGAAGTTCGTACGCTTACGTGCTGTTCGCCGCCGCACTCAGCGTCGTGCGCGCCGATCTGGCAAGGTCTCCCATTGGATAGACTGTCGTCGTGTTACGTCAGCTTTACTTCGTCATACTCGCGTACTTCGCCGTCGACAATTTCGTCAGTTTGCTTCTTCATTAACTCCATGTACACCTAAGCCAAAGATCTACAAAGTACTGAGAGGTATGGGCTGCTCTCCAACACCTCGAGATGTGTTCATCGCCCTCAGTCTTAAAACTGGCATTGAATTATCACGACTTGCAGATGATTTTGCGGTGCGCTTCATTGTACCCCAACGCCCTTCTGGATCTTCATATCCTCGATCACTGACTGGTCCTGCACGGAGTCCGGAGAATATGGATCATCCTTTCAATATGTCGGAACTAGATGCGGCTCTTAGGAAATGCAAACGCCACAGTGCTCCTGGGTCTGATGGCATTACCTACCAAGCATTGCGTAACCTGAGTGACAAGTCACGCGTCGTCTTGCTCGAGCGCTTAAATTTGGCATGGACTACTGGTATTCTTCCGCAAGAATGGAAGCGTGCTGTAGTAACCCCCATTTTAAAACGAGGCAAGCCTTCGTCGGAATTGTCCTCGTACCGCCCAATATCTTTGACCTCGTGTGCTGGGAAACTT